CTGGTACGTGCTAAATCTAGGTTTGGGACTTAACTCGGGCTCTCACAAGCCCATACCATATCGCGACTTAGGGTTTAAATATTTAACATACAAGTGGTTTATACCAAGAAGTCGCCACTAATCGATTTGGGGTGGGTCGATTAAAAACCCAAATAAAGTGATGGGAGAATCACCCTATTCCTGCGAACCAGTTATTAACTGAGTTTGGAGAGTTGATTATACTAGTTGGATAACTAATGCCCTTTCGGTACCTTTTTACCCCGTTCATTTCTGAAAAAATTTATCAAGCAATTTGGATTGATTTTAGGACATTTCTCATAACATGTGAGGTGATCAAACGAGTGCATAATCATAAACGATCAGCAATCAGGATAGATATGCAGCCTAAGGTTCTAATCATAACTAAGTCAAATGACATTCAAAAACACAATGGTTCATGGAATTGTATTAAAAACATGCATAATAATACAACGGTAATAAAAATAACATGCAAAATACTACCGCGCAATCCCAGGCTTGTCTAATTTAAACAAGACAAAAACTTGCATAATAATACCACAATAAATTAAAACAACAAATATATCACATAATTAAAAAAAATGAAATTTTTTTTAAAAAAATAATAAATAAATAAATAAATATGAAAAAGAAGAAAAGAAGAAGAAAAAAAATTTTAAAATTTTAAAAAAAAAATTAAAAATAAGTAAATAAATAAATACGGAAGAAAAAGAAAAAAGAAATTTTTTTAATTTTAATTTTTTTTAATTTTTTTATTTTTTTAAATAATATAATAAAATATTATAATATTATAATAGCCGGGTCGGGTCGGGTCGGGTCGGGTCGGGTCGGTCAGGTTCGACCCGGGTCAACGGACCTGACCCAATTTGTTGACCGGGTTAGATTTCCGGATCCGACCCAGGTCAAAGGGTCAACCCGGGTCTGGACCGGATCGGGCCCAGTTGGGTTCCGGTCAGGTGGAAAAAGACAAAAAAGGGCTGGTTCGACCAGGTCGAATCGGCCCAGATAGCCTAACCCGGTCTGCAAGCCGGTCTGTAGACCGGACCAAGCCGGTTCTCACGTGCCACAGGCATGCGAGAACGCCGGCCGGCGAGATCCCGCGTCTCGCCGGCCGACCCATACCAAATCATGCCTCATTTTAGCCTTGAGAGACCCCTACAAGGCTCCCTCAGCCACTCCACTTGCCGTCCGACCACGCACTCGCCAGCCGGCGAGCAAAATCAAACCTGTTTCATTAGGGCATTTCGTCGAATAGTCGGTGCGCGCAACAGAAACTGAGGTGTTTCGACCTTCTCCGGCGATCCGGTCGACTCAAGCGGCTTCAGTTCACCTCCGACGGTGACTGGAGACTGGGACCAGAGACGGTATTGGCCGGGATTCGCGCGAAACGGCCGGCGCGAATTCCAGCCAAACCGTGTCCACGAACAAGGGAAAACAGAGGAGGCTCTCGGCCGGGGGGCTCACCGGTCGTCGACGCGTCTGGATGATTTTCGGCTGGTCTGAGGGCGTCGACAACCACTGCTAGTTCGCCTTTGGCTCTGGCGTGACCTTGGTTCTCTCTCTCTCTCTCTCTCTCTCTCTCTCTCTCTCTCTCTCTCTCTCTCTCTCTCTCTCTCTCTCTCTGTTCTTTTTTTGAAAATGGCCGACCTCGGGCCTCTCCTCTCTCTTTGGCTTTTATAGCCGGCGAACACGTTCACCTGCTCCTCACGTATGCTGACGACGGCCTGCACCGGCCTATCTGGCCCGCGACTTTCGTGGCCATTTAGGCCGGTGCAGAGCAGGGAGGGCCGGTTCAGAGTAAGGAGGAAGAGAGGAAGAAGGGGGAGAGGAAAGCTTGGGAAATCGGGGAGGACGGGACTGGCAATGCCAGTCCCGTCAGCGTGCCTCTTCGGCCTTCCTCTGGCCAGATAGCAACTGGGCGAGGCTGCTCCGCCGCTCGCCGTTCTGCGTCAGCAGCAGGGCAGAACAGGGGAAGGAGAGCGACGGGGGAGAAGGAAGAAGGAGAAAAGCTGGGCCAGGCCAGGCCCAGCCGCGCGAGGGGAAGAAAAAGGAAAGAAAAACAAGCTGGGCCGCGCGCCGGGGGGGGGGGGGGGGTGGGGGGAAGAGGAAAAAAAGGAAAAAAAAAAAGGGCTGGGCCCATGCGGGGAAAAAAAGGAAAAGGAAAAAGGGCCGGGTTGGCCCGGCCCCGACCCGGCCCGACTCGTTCTTTTTTTTTTATGATGAAATTTTTAAAATTTTTTTTTAACATTCTAATAGACCCTATTAATATAAAATGTACCTAATTTCTATATGCAATGTATTAAATAGAAATATTTTTTTTGTTTTAGGAACTAAAAAATTAATTCCTAAATTTTGTGCAATTAATTTTGGGCAAATTAAAAATTGGTGTCAACATATGATAGACCATATTTGACTATTAAATGATAGAGGATTATTAAAATTTACGTCATATTCACAAATAATTGAAAATCAACAAAAATAAACTTTGGCATATTTAAAACCATCTTTACATGAAGTATATACAAAAAAAAATATTTTCAATATATTACACAATTTTCCCTATTTCATTGATAAATATGACAATGCATAATTAATGATGACTCATATGATTAAATGCATAGTTAGAGATAACTCTGATGAGATAAGTTTTAATTGCACTTTTTTTATTTGTACAAGTATTGATAGAAAACTTGTCCATTATCACAGAAAACAGATAGCACATATATTACAAATAAATGAATTTTAGAAAAGCATAACAAAAAAAAATTATCAATGATTTCGAAAAGGTTCTAAAAAGAAAAATATTTGCCAAGATATTGCTTCTCCCAGGGAAGATGAGATAAATAACTAAGATTTCATGTTGTTAATTTTTCACCGCGGGTTGCCCAAGAAATATTAGATAAATGGGTACGTATTTGTACTCATTGAAGAAAAAATGAGGCAATTTCGATGAACTTTGCAAAATGATCAATGCTATAATGCTCAAATTTTAATGTATGCAATTATTAACTTAGATTACCAATAAATGGAGAATAGATGCATAAAGTTGGTAATAAATAATTGTGGTTCCGCCATGTGGGATGGGATGCGTCCAAATGAACAATGATATGGCAACATCTACCAATAATGATGCACCGTGTGTATTGTTTAGCCATATTGAATGCTGATGCAGATGATATTTATTAATTTACAGTTAAAATAAAATTGCCAATATGTTCATGTGGGGAGATTTTAGCATGTGCTATTAATTTAAAAAAATGATTTCAAGTAAAATTGATTCCACATTGACAGCTGAAGATATTAGCATGTGCCAATTCATTTTGTGACTGATTACATTGATGTTTCCACATTGATGTGTCCTTTTAAAATCCAATTTTTCTTTAAAAGCTTAATAATTTGGTGAGTTTGTTCTTATTCCTTTCCAAGCTACACTTTCATGTTTTCCTTTAAATTTCAAGAGGCAAAGCTTCAATATTTTTCAATGGAAGGGAAGGCTATTCCTTATTTTAGCGAATTTCTTTTTTTTTTTTTGCGAGTTCACAAAATTTAACGAAGGTAATTTCTTCTCTTCTTATATTCTCATGTTTCATGATTACATGCATACTAAAAAAGTTTTTCCCATCAGCATGACATAAAAAATTTCTTGGCCATTCAATTGTGCTTTTTTCAAATTCTAAGAAGTCAGTATTAAAGGACAAAACCGGTCAAAACTTATAATTATCAGGAACCTTATTTTTGTAATAAGTATTTTTTTTGGTTGGCTTGGTGTATTCCTGGACTTTGTAACTCCTCTACGAGAAGTTGGGTGAAGCCTTAGTGGACTCGCCTGAAGAAACCCCATAAACTCATAAAGTCCTCCCTTATCCTGAGGAGGGAAGTTTCGAACTCCTCACCTCGCCATTCCCATATGGAAATGGTGGCTACTGAGGCAAACCCCTAGTGAGTTGTAATAAGTATTTTCAATTAAATATCTTGTTTGGTGTCACATGTAACTGAAATAGAATCGATTGTACCTTTTTGTTTTACCCTTAATTATTTCTGGATGGCCCCTCTTTCGACGAACTTCAATGCAAATTTCATCACCTATTGTTGCCTCCAAAATCAATTGTCAATTAATCAGCATGTCACCAAGAACCATTTCACAATTAATTTCCTCTCTTGAATGTCTTCTTCTCCATTTAAATAAGGTTATGTGCATTTACTTTTGTTTTTGTCTTTCATTTATGGTGATTATGCTAATTTTATCTTCCTTCTATTAATTTGACTGTTAGTTACGCGTTCTTATTTAAATTAGCAATTGTTATTCTTTTTCTTTGTCACTCTTCACTAAACGCTGGAGGTTTTGCACTCCATTTATAAAATAAAAGCCAAAATAAGTTATTCCCACTTATCTATTCTCTTAAATTTATGTTAATTTTGAATTTGAGTCTTTACTTTTCTTCAAGGTAGTATTTGTTTTTCATACTATTCATTAATAGTTCTAATTTCACATTTAGTAATGCCATGTTTAGGAGATTGGGGAAAACGGAGGTGATGAAAATTTGAATGGAAAGGCTTGAATATTTTAACTTTTTTGCGAGACAAAAAAGAGGAGAGAAAATTTGAAATTGTACGTATTTTTGTCCGATTTTGTTCACCTAAGGCCTCCCAAATAGAGCCCTAGCGTTTGATCTGTAGAACGAAGAAGCTTTCATTAAAAAAGAAAACGAGAGAGAATCCAAATTTTGGACAGAGGGGTTGCCGGATCAAATTTCACGTTTTATCTTTTTTCTTGATATTCAAAGCTCGCGATAAAGTTATTATCAAGTAAATTCCCTGATGCTTCATTCTTGGATAAGTACTTTTTTGTTCTTATTCAAGGTATATTGTAAAGTCTGACAAAAAAAAAAGATATATTGTAAAGAGATTATGAAAAAGAAGAAAAGACAAACGGGCAGAGAGAATATGATAATGTCGAAGGCCATATGTTAGCCTCCTATAAGTTTACTTCAATGCACGGCTTTATTAGCAACATGCTTCCACAAATATATAAGTCCAAAGCAAACGGAGACATAACACAGATTCACAAATGTTCAAACCCTAGAAGTCCTTATGGACAATTGATAGACATGTCACTATGGTGATAAAGGATCAGATTCAGGCACACGCTTAATCCATTCCCAGACAGGAAAGACAGCTTGACATGCACTGTTCGCACTCGTCGCCAGGAGCCGAAGTCTCGCGGGGGTAGGGTTTTTCTGCATCCCAAATCTCTTCAATGTTTTCTTCAACTTCTTCAGCTGCTGAGCCCCGGTGGATAACGGCCAGTCGCCAAGCCACTTCCCTCATTGCCGGCCTGTTCGTGCGTCTTTGGTCCAAGCACTCCACTGCAATCTTAGCAACCTTTTCTACCCTCTCCATCTCATCGTCACTAGCGCCCTTGAAGTCTATGACATCGGAGAGTTCGTTGCCCTTCACGGAAGAGATGAAATGGTGGATCATATTGATCGACCCTCCGGACTTAGTATCAAAAAGTTCCTTTCCCGTGAGCAACTCCACAAGGATAACTCCAAAGCTGTATACATCACTCTCAGTTGTTAGGATACGAGTGATTAGATATTCCGGATCGATGTAGCCCAACGAGTCTTGCTTTTGAGTGGCTACGATATATTTGTGCTTTGGTGAGATGAGTACCGAAGTTCCAACATCAGACACTTTTGCCGAGTAGCTTTGATCTAAATCGTTTTGATCCAGAAGTATGTTTGCCGACTTGATGTTGCCATGAACGATAGGGGGTTTTATGCTGGAATGCATATAACTGAGTGCAAGAGCAGCTTCAGCGGCTATTTTGAAGCGATCTTCCCACGATTTTAAGATGGTCGACTCATCTTGATGGATGTGTTCGAAGAGGGTGCCATTCGGAATGTATTCATAAACCAACAATGGTATTCTGGTCTCTAAGCATATGCCTTTGAGCTTCACCACATTTTTGTGGCTTCTTTTCATCAGAAATTCAAGTTCACGCTGGAAATCCCTCTTTATTCGAGACTTGTGCGCATCTTTAGGCTTCCTGACCACGACTATGTCGTCCCCCGCTATGTTCCCTCTATGGACGGAACCGAAATCGTCATCTCTGAGCTTATTGCTATCATCATAGTTGTTGGTTGCTTCTACCAACTTTGCCTCCGGAAAGATTTGAGCCCCCTGTTGTTCCAAGATCTCCAAGATCTCTCCTCCATTTCGTCTGAAGTTGATCTTTCTGAGTTTCCATCTCATCGTGAGCGAGACTGAAGCAGTAACAGTTAAGCCAAAGACGGACACAGCCATTGCTGCCAAAGAAAACATGTTACCAGATTATTGAATCAAGCACGTAATCCTTATACGATCCGCATACTTCATTAAAAGAAATCAATTTCAAATGGACAAACCCATTTAACTGCTTTTTACATAATCCCCATATCTATCACTATCGATTTGGAGGGTTAGCAATATAACAAGTAATCAATTGGATCAATTCTTACCAAAGTCTTCTATCACTCCTCCAAATGTCTTTCTTGATTATAATGAAGACGGTTTGTAATAAAACAAAAGAGAATAAGAAAGCATTCACCTCACATTGTTTTAGCTCTTTTCATTTACAAATGGTATGAAAACTCAATGGAACTAATTATGCACTTTATAATTATTATTATTAAAAAAAATTTCGTCCATCTTATTGGAGGAAACTCTAACTGATGAGGTTACGAAGAGATATATAAATATACACACACCCAAAATTCGCATATGGATAATACGTAACATTTATAACCCACCAATCAAAAACATGATTGAGAGAGGTTTCTCTTAACCAGATATGAAAAATATTTATTTTTTACAAATTTATTATTTTTCTAAGACTAGTTTTAATTAGGGATGGGCATGGGCCCCGGGGCTAGAGGGGGCGGCATTGCCATAGCATTAATTTTTTCCTCAAAAAGAACTAATCCACTAATTAGATGACCATTTGGCATTTTTCTTATTTTTATCATTTTTATTAGAAAGAAAGGCCTCGTGGGTGGATCCTAATAAAAAGAGAGTGTCATCATGGCTTGCTTTTGTGGGGTCCAAAAAAGTTCCAACCTTTACGCGTTAGTTAACGTGATGAAGTGCCTGGAAAACAATTGTACCGCATTGCTTGCCACTTTCCGACCTTGCATCGTCTATAAAAAAGAAAAAATGTCAAAAAAGTCCTAAATTTTTTGTATTTGTGTCAATTTAATCCTAAATTTTTTTTGGTACCAATTCAGTCCTAAACCTTTTGCATTTGTGCTAATTGAGTCCTAAACCTTTTTTTAGTGCAAATTCAGTCCTAAACCTTTTGTATTGGTACCAATTCAGTCCTAAATCTTTTGTATTTGTGCCAATTGAGCCATAAACCTTTTTTTTATGCCAATTTAGTCCTAAAATTTTTGCATTGGTGCCAATTCAGTCCTAAACCGTTTGTATTTGTGCCAATTCAGTCCTTCCAGTTAATTTAGCTCAAAAAGGTTTAGGACTGAATTGGCACAAATGCAAAAAATTTAGGATTGAATTGGCACCAATACAAAAGGTTTAGGACTCAATTGGCGCCAAAAAAAAGTTTCGGGCTCAATTGGCGCCAATGCAAAAGGTTTAGAACTGAATTGGCACCGATGTGAAAGGTTTAGGACTGAATTGACACTAAAAAAAGGTTTAGGATTAAATTGACACAAATGTAAAAGGTTTAGGACTGAATTAGCACCAAAAAAAGGTTTAGGATTAAATTGGCACTAATGCAAAAGGTTTAGGACTTTTTTGACACTTTTCCCTCTATAAAAAAGCAAGACTTATAAGGAGAAGAGATTGTTCTTGGGGTTTCATTATGATTATTTAATTTTTTTGTAACAAATATTACAGATAAAATGAAAGATAAATGTGTATTTTTTTCTTCAAATAGAACACGGGATGGATTCACCAAGCGGGGCCCGCCCCGCCTATTTGTCTCGCCTAATGCCTTACGGGCCATTTTCTGCAAGGAATTTTCCCCATTGGAGGTGGTGTCCTACGGGGCACAAATTCCCCGCGCCCCATGCCCATCCTTAATTTTGAGAACCCCTCTCCCACCAGCTTTTACATGTAGATCCATTCCTTTTTTGCGGGTATTATCATCAGAAATTTTCACATTTAAATATATATATTTCCTATTGCGAATATATAATTCCATTAGCTTTAAATATGTAAAATCAGAAAATGTATTTTATAACCCGAGAAAAAATAATAAACCCACCACAAAATCTCAATCAAAACATGGACTTTTACACCGTGCGCTGTCAGCATAATCTCATGATTACATAGGCAGAGCGCACTAGGATCTGCCACGAGTCCAAAAGCTTCACTTCTGTTCGCTCTCAAAACCTCTATTTGTCTGTTTGTACTCTTTTTCTTTCTTTATTTTTCTAATCCGTCACTCTCTTCTACCAGATGATTGATTGAAGATTTAATGAACCATTCACTGGAGATACACCAAAGGGGAACAATTTTCACCCAAATCTAAACGCAGCCAAGAGCAAATATGAATTATAGTTAATGTAAAAGGGTTTGGCCACAAAAAAAGGAAAGAAGAAGAAGCCCAAACCCAATCCATGGGTGAGTGATCGTTGAAGGTGAGTTGAGTTGCATGAATTATGGCAACCCAACTGAGCTTCATCAATCTTGAAGTCCATCCTTATTCGCAAGTTCACCAAGCAATGGCGTTTCGCCTTTATGTCCATCTAGTGCTCAAGACCCATTGTTACTTCAGCAACTCACAAGAGAAACGGGAAATTCCCGATTTTGACACCAGTTTCTATCATTGATCAGACTCAAGAGTCACTAAGCTCTTCTAGTGCTGCTTTTTGGCTAATGTTTTCAAAGTTTAAGAATTAACGAAGTTCAACCACCCTGCCTCCTTCAACAATCATCTTGGTCTGCCGTTGCTTAATGCCTTGCTCCTTTTTCTTTTTCCTGTTTCTAGTTCAAATTCGAGCTCACTTTCGCTAGGAATTTTAGGGGGGTTTTTCCCTCTTGAAATCTGCAGGCCTAGTTGTTCTTTTCGGCTCAAGATTTGTAGTGTTTGGTTAGAGGAGGAATTTTCATTTAGATCTGTAGTGTATCCTCTCACGATGTAGTTTCAAAGTGTGAGCGTCAGATGAACGGAAGAAAAAGGCGAGAAGGGAGGCAAAATAAAAAAACGAAAGAAAGACGTAAACGGCGTTAGCCAGTGACTGAATAGGATGTTAGGAACTAGTGATAGCATTTGGTTCACTGCTTGTGTTTACCAGGGATTACACAGGCTAAGTACGGTATAACAATCCTTAAAACAAATACGTCAATCCTACTGCAAGATCAAGAACAAATCAATAGAATACGAACCATCTAGTGAATAATGACGGGCAATATATGGAATTACCTCCAAAAGCTATGCCCAAACGAGAAACTTGGCAACGGTCTTTACCCCTGCGCCTCTTTCCTGGTCCGCAATCGCATGTGTAGCTCCCGGGCGTATTCCTGCACTTTCCATGACATGGGTATGTTTTGGGGTCCTTGCACTCATCAATGTCTACATCACGCAAAAGATAAATGGAACCGTTATCTCGGTTAATGGCAAAAACAAATCGAACAAGTCAGTGCAGGGATTATTAATCGGGTAGTGCTTATCCCATTCTGGTTTCGATCATAGCACCGTGATGTGTGTCCACTCTCTCTTAAGATATCTTTCTCCACTCTCAGTTTCTCTACGTGTCGAGTCCGAGCTCAACAATGGCCTTGTTCTTGGCCATCAATGGAGATCGACGCTGCCTCGAACTTTTGCAATGATGCAGGAATCCTATGTTGCAAGTGTGAGGCGATGTTTTGTTGTTGCCATATCAGATATGGTCATCGAGGACAACGACCAAGCCTAGGAAGGTGGACATTGATCTTGACATGCATACATGCATATATTAATATGAGCCACTTTTTTATGAGTAAGGTGGATGTGCTAATATGTATATATATCACTAAATATGACGGGTCGTCAGATGTGTCCATTTAGATGCATTTTAATATGCGTACTGTGTTCAATGAAATATATAGGCCCCAAGGGGGAAAGGGGGACATTGATCTTGACATTGCAGCATGAGGGTAGAGTTGCTAGTAATGATGTTGACCATGGTGTTGACAGGGTGGTGGCGACAGCCTTGACTTATTTTATTAAGCAAAAAGTTGGAACCTCAAGAGAAATATTTTTACCTGAATTTACTTGGACTTGAGTAGGTGCTTAAAAGGTTCAAGACGAAACAGAGAAATGGTATAATGAAGATATCTCCTCATAAGTTCGATCCGATCTAATCACAATTATTAATCATGTGACTTACGTGATCAATGCTAGACAGAGACCTGGGTCCAGGCAAAATTCCCCAAACTTTATATAAACCTTCCATTAAAATTATACCAATGAGAAAACACACTTTTCTCTCTTTTCTCACTGTCACTTACGCCATAGCCATCGTGACCATGACATCACCATCCCCACCACCGCACACATTTATCTAATAGCTTAAGCTTTTAGAATAATAGGTCATGGTTCTACAAAATCTCACATGGTATAAAAGCAGGAGAGTTATAATATTTAAATAATAAATTACGCTTTAATCTAACATCTTAGGCTTTTAGAACATTTGATTATGGTCCACAAAATCTTACAATTGAGATGAGGTCCAAGCTAGACTCACGAAGGAAGAGAGAGAGAGAGAGAGAGAGGCGGCTATGGTGGTCTGACGCCGTGTGAAGGCCGATGGCGGGCTTGCCTAAGGTGGCAGCGGCAATGGCGCAAGGTGCAAGCCGGAGAGCGAAGGAAGAGTTGAGGAGAGAGAAATCGAATGGGGGCTAATTAAACGGGTAAAACTAGATAGAATCAGTAGTAAGTAGATACAGTACTTCCCTATCATGGTGATTAATTAATTAATTATCCACACAATTCATTCAGAGCGCGATAATGCATGAAAAGTCGTATGTGTTAAATTACCTATACACCCATCTCTGGGATCATAGGGATTCCCATGGTACCCAGGCTTGCAAACGCAGCGGTAGCCCGGTCCATTCCCGAAGTCCACACAACTCGTGTTTTTACCACAGGCATAGCTTGACTTGTTCTGCTCGGCCTTTTGACAATTCACGTCCGGTTCGACCATCCAGTCCAGAACGAGTTCCTCGCCCTTGCCCACGTCCTCAAACCGCGGGAGAGTCCGGCCTGAGACGTTGAACGACTTGTTGTCAGCCACGAAGGCCAGTGCGCAGCTGTTGCTCCGCGAGGCCGACACGGCGCCCACGAAGCTGATTCTAATGTCGAGCTTCTGGAGCCCCTTTGGGATGGATGCTTGACAGCAACCTCGACCGGAGCAAGTGGTCTCCTTGGCCAAGTCGACGGTTTCGTTTTCGCTGCAGTAGGCGATGCAACCGCTCCCGAACGTCCCTTGGCTCTCGGCCATGGTCGCGATGATGTCGCAGCCGAGGACGGTGAGCTTGTTCTGGGTGTCCGAAAATCTGTACCGAGGATTCGTAGATAGATCGATGATCAGAGGACCGCTATTGTTTGCCAGCAACGGCATGCCATTCTGATCGTAGCACTGGTATGCTTCGGGGTGGCTGACGACCATGGTCGAGTCCCCGACCGAGATTCTACGTATCGTAACATTCCCCCACTGAAGTTGAAGACCGCTACCTTCGGTGTTGCTGCAATTGAGCAAAAACTTTTCGGACCTCGCACAATTGGTTTCGAGCCCGAACGGATAAGGTATGGCCACGGCCCCACACTTGTATTCGCACTGTCTGGGCAAGGGGGGAGCGCCGCCTTGTCGCAACCACCAGGCCACAGCCACCGTGAGAAGCCGATGCACTACCTTCATTTCCAAAAAAACTCTCTCAAACTCGCTCTCACGTATTTTTGTCCGTTTTGGGACCTTTGTTCTTCTGTCCTTGTTCATAGAGTGGGAGCCGTTCTCACCCGCCCATTATATACACATCGACGAATTGGTGAAATTAAGTTCAACAATGGAGGGGCGGAAGAGGGGCAAATTGTGTCAATAGAACAAATTGGAGGGACCCGATTGCATAGATCAAGAAATGCATGACAGAATGAAAAAAAAAAAAAACGATATACAAAGGTCCTACACATAAGGGGTAATGCGCTCTTAGTCCTTGTCCTAGTGAAAAGGATGGTCATAGTAAATGAAAATGAATACATGATGGTGATGTTGAGGCTACTTAGCAAACTTTGCTCTATCTTGTATCTTAGAAGAAACCAGGATACATTGTAATGGGAAATTCTAAATGCATAAAGAACTCCTACTAAAACTTTTGCACTCAGTAACATGACAAGTTTCAGTTGAGCATTCAAAAAAGTGAGATCTATTATTTGAATGTTTGGCTTATTAGAAGCCAAAAAATGAAATTGCCACATTATTTATTTTAAAACCTTAGGGTGGCTGTTATGTTTTAAAATGACATTCAGCCACAAGTTCCACTATAGAAGAATGGCCGGCCGGCTTGAAAGGTTAATCAAACTCATGGCGACACTAAGATGGCCCTAGAATTATGATGGGATTTAAACATTTTATTAGAGTTATGTTTAAGATGGCCTTACAATTCTAAACTCGTACAAAAGGAAAATAGCAAACAAAAATTATGCATAGTTCTTTTTTGTGGCCATCAAGGGTATAAAATCACAAATAAATCAAATCTATAAAAGACCAAAAACTCAAATAGAACTTTTTATCATATTCATTTTACAGTTTCTCAGGATGTAAGATTTTAAGTTCAATCGGAAGATTGATACTAGAGATAATAACGAAGTTTATCTATGACCTGGAATCGGAACAAAATTTTTAAATGATTTCTTAAGAAGTATATCACTACTCTTATAGAAATGGTAAAGGCGAAGTAAAATGAACATTAGGAATTATCACCATTTGGGATAAGTCTTACTTCCTAGTAATTTTAGAACTCTTGAGCCATACTAGTCGCATGTTTGAAATTGCCCAGATGCTTCTCGACCTCGGGAAATCTTAATTCATTTCTTGCGTAGGTTCGACTGGACCATGATATAGAATTATCCTGGTTGTACTCTCACCATATATTGGTGAGCCGATGGTAACGGGCTTACCCAAATTAGGAGTAGCTCAAACGGAACATAACGTTACGTATGTGGAACTCTTAAGATAATTCTTTGAGTTAATCATCAATATCAATTGCCCTTTCCTACCATTTTACCTATCAAACAATATTATCATGGTAATGCCATTGTGATGTACAATAATAAATTTATTTGCATAATTATCCTTGCAAGCTAAGAAATGCAATACCGGAAAAAATGTAGAGTAATTATAGGATATACAATCAGTGTAAACAAAATTTCACACAAGCAGGTGCATACACCATTGACTTGAAAGAGTTTGTAGTTATAATCCTCAAATTAAGGACGAACGAGGCTGCTTATGTAAAATTTCTTTTATACTGGAGGTGTATGATCTATATTTCCAAAAAAGATACGGTGAAATATGCTTGCTAGATGATGTAGTATGTAATTACTGAACAATTAAATGAATTGTTGACACAATTTTTAATGGCTTAATTTTTTTTTGTGAGCTTACCAGTCTCCAAACACAATGACTTGAATTTTGGCACACCCTCTCAATTTTCTAATCTGTTATTCCAATTTTCCTCATATTCTGTCAATCTTTCTACTCATTAATTATCTAGGACAATTTTGACCAAAAAAAATTATCTAGGACAATAATCACGTGCCAACCACCTATAAAATTGCTTGCATGGAGAAACTTTTGTAGTTGTGGTGTACACAGATGGAGAGAAGACGGGTTAGACATTGCCCTAAATAAACATATGAAATCTTGTTAATGAGTTCTCAAGCGTAATGGTGAAGTATATCTATGGAAAAGGATTTGATTTATAAATATTAATTACACCTATAACCGTAAAATTAAGTGTCTAAAATTATCAATATATATCCTTTTTTGTTTGATTGCTTTATAAGTGTCATAAGAGTGACCCCTTTTTAATATGTGAACGTTTATATAATTGTATCGCATGCTGATGTGATCTAAATCTCTTAGACTATTAGTAATACTATATGTAGTAATTAAGATCACTTACAAGAGAAAACCCATCTTAGGCGGTGAACAGAGCAACGATTTTATTTTAATTTTGATCGAATCATCTTAGATGAAACAGTAATTGACATGCCATCACAACCTTGAAAACCTCTAGCCCAGTTCAAAATAAGATATTGGCTTTTTTTCTTCTCAAAACACAGAATCCGGACTATATGACTTAAACAAATGTGACGAATGCAAGCAATTCGCCTGTAGACACGCATCTAGTAAAGCTATATTTACAAGGAAGCTGACGAGATTATTCCAAACGTGAAACGTTGCAACGGAATTTATTATTTGCAAATTAATCGTTTAATCATTCGGTCAAATAGTTCGAGGTTTTAAAACAAGATGATACCACCAGGATGGAAAGTTGTCCGGCAAATTATTTTGATCATCGAGTCCTCTTTCGGGCAATCATTTTTTATATTATCCATTGCGCATCTCAATCGAGACCAAACTGAAGCAACGTGTTTCACGACAAGAGTGAAACATAGAAAGCCACCTTTGAGGAGACCTTTTCCTTTCCTGTTGGCCTGACCCTGCTGCACCCAAAACATCAACAACATGCTCCGCGTATAGATGAGCTCGGTAGATCTCCAACGTCGATTTATGTGGGCTCCACGTGAGACTGACGCCATCTGACTGCTGATATTCATTGGGATTTTGTGCATCCGGTTCATGGAAGTGTGGCCGGGATGCGCACTAAAGCCTCCGGGCCCGACGCCTGGTGACAGCATGATGCCTCGTACGGGAAACTTGGTCACGGGGCACGAAGACTTATATTTTACAAGTCTTTCGAAGAACACGACATAGGGCAATGTAAAGAATAACATCATTATTATTGTGTTATAGGATCCAAAATAGGATCTCTCTTAACCTTTGACCACCTAATTTATGGGGGAGACATTAAATGTTATTTCAATTTCGAGATAACCATTTTCTCTTGCAAAACTACTTACGAAACATGTTTCTTTACCGACAAAGTTCTGTCATGCACATAAGATGATGGATCAAATCCATCATCGGTGTTGATCATGTAGACTGCACAAATGAGTTTCACATGATCAATGACTGCAATTGTATTGGGTCGATGGACCAAGTAAGAGATCCTTTATTTACCACAATGTTTTAGTTGGAAAATTGCCGAAATTTAAAAGTTATGAGGCAATGAACCTAGGAGTCATATCCTTTTGTATGCAATATTTTAGGGTTTAGTGATTAATATGGTTAGGATAGCTTGTAAGATGAAATACTCTCCCTTTTTCCAGGAATTTTCTTGTCAATATCATGGATCGATCGCATACTGATATGATGTAACAAGTCAATCACAAAATCCATGTCATACGAATTCTAATCAACTTTGTGTTTGAGTTTTGAACGATTAATGCCACCTTGTAATGGAAAGGATTTGATTTGTAAATAGTAATTAAACATATAACAATAAAAATTAGTATTAAAAATTGTTAATATATGTACTTTTTGGTTACTTAACAAGTATCATGAGGTGACACCTTCTTAATAATTGAAAATTCATATAGTTGTAGGGCATGACGGTGCAATCTAAACTTTCTAAACTATTAGTGGTACTATGTATGGTAATTAAGATTACTAATAGGAGAAGGCTCTACTTAACTACTTAGGCGAGGAATAGAATAACGGTTGTATTTTAATTTTGATTAATAAACTCATCTTATTTTAAAAGGGTAATTCACTTGCTATCACAACCCAAAAAATCTTGACTCCTAATCCAAAATAAGTTATTAGCTTATTATTATTTTTTTACAGTTCAAAGTATTCGAACTATTCGTCTTAAACAAATGTCATGAACACAAGCAATTCGCATGTTCACATGCATCTAGTAGAGCTCCTCCATAGTGTGGTTGTCGAGACTTAATTTGAATGTGAGATATTGTGACGGAATTCATTGCATACAAATTAAATGCTTAATCACTCAGTCAATAATTCAAGATTATAAAACAAAAATTGACCGAAAGTTATCACTAAATTTTTTTGATCATAGAGTCCATTCGAACAATGATTTTTTATATTAAATGCGATGTCCGTTACGGCCCTCTCTCTTGACCAAACTAAAGTAACATGTGTCATGTGTTACACACAAAAATTTAATATAGAAAAGTACCTTGGATTTTAGCGGGGGAGACCTTTAACTCTTTATGCTGGCTTCGGTCCCAGCTGACCTAGCCCTGGACCCAAGAAAAAAATAATAATAACATTCTCCGCACGTAAATGAGGCTAGCCAATCATCGACGTTGATTTACGTGAGCCCCATACAAGACCGACCTCATCTAACGGTTGAAATTCACCGGGATCTTGCGCACCCAGTTCATGCAAGTGCGGTTGGATCCGCACTAAAACCCACCGGGCCCGACGCCTGGCGACGGCGACATGAGAACTTTCTCCGGTGCAAGAAGACTTACAAGTCGTCTCGAAGTCTTTCTAAGAACAAAGACAAACATGCCAGAGAAAAAAACCGACGTCGTGGGGTTCGGTGTTATCCATCCGGAGGATGACCTTTCTCAATGACGACACATGGGGTACGCGAGATGGTCGTCAGTCGACCATTCTTTATTGCCATGGACGACCAGGAGGAGCGCAGGGTTTCCACAGACTGTTTCTCAGTCCTCCTCAACTTAAACCTAGGGGATTCTGCTGGTGATCTCTCGTTCTCCGAGCAAGAAGATGAATTATAACAGCAGCGGAACCCAAAAGAAGATACTGATGTTTTTCGCAATTCCGCAGATTTGCATTCCGATTTTAGATTTTAGTATTTTCATTTCAATGAGGTCTAACATCGTCACCTGATTT